GCTTTTGCCGCTGAGCTAAATCCCCAGCCCCTTTTTTTTGTCTTTTTGAGACAGGGTCTCGCTATGCAGTTCAGGCTGGCCTTGAGCTTACTTTGTAGCCCAGGTTGGTCTCAAACTCACACTAATCCTCCTGCCTCAGCCTCCTGAGTGCTGGGATTACAGGTGCGCGCCACCATGCCCGGTGAAATCTATTTTTTTTTTTTTTTTTCTTCCAGTACTAGCAATTGAACTCACCACTTTGCGCTTGCCAGGCAGGCGCTGTGCCGCTGAGCTAAATCTCTAACCCCTCCTAACTTTTTCTGTCCTTGTGTTTGTACTACTTCCTAGATCCTCATTTGTCCTTTTGCCTTTAAGTAAAAGGCAAGAACATTTCATTTATATGAGGCAGTAGGATAAGTGTTGGTAAATTTTTTTGTTCCTATTTTTAGTTTCCTTATGGACAGTTCATCCACACTTGTATACTTTTTTTTTTTTTATATCAGGAATGAAACTCAGGACCTTGCACTTGCCAGGCAGGTGGTGTACTGCTGAGCTATATCCTCAGCCGTCATCCACACGTGTATAGGATTGTACACCCCATGGGGCTGACAGCCCTGGGGTGCTGTTTGAGTGTCCTCAGCAGTCACACGATTCGCTTCCTGCCACGTGCTCAGCATGCTGCTGGGCACGACAATAGACTAGCCATGGCAGCTCCAGAGGTGGTAATTCTGTGTGAATCCTGCCCTACAGCTAAAGAGCTTTTCCCTTCTTTCTGCAGTTCTTGGTTTCTCTTTCTGTGTACATCTTTGTGCGTGCTTCATTACCAAGCTAATGAGCTTTGAGCTTCCTAGATGGGCTTTAATCTTGATTAGGGGACAGGGGCAGTAACTGAAATGAGTCTGTGTTGAGGCGTCCTCTGTCTTCATGGTGCCTGGGTCCCTCTTCATCTCTCCTTCCTTTTTTTTTTTTTTTTTTTGGTTTTTCTCCGGTACCGGGAACTGAACTCACGACCTTGCGCTTGCCAGGCAGGCGCTTTGCCGCTGAGCTAAATCCCCAGCCCATGAGCTAAATCCCCAGCCCCCATCTCTCCTTCCTAGATGACAGGCTCATGTGTAGCTTCCCAGCCACTCGTGCCTGAAGTAGCTCTTTTTTTGCGGGGGGGGGGCGGTTACTGGGAATTGAACTCAGGACCTTGCGCTTGCCAGGCAGGCGCTATGCCGCTGAGCTCTATCCCCGGCCCTGAGGTGCCTCTTTTAGGTCTCACTTTCACAGTCGATTGAGGGAGTGGTGAGAAGCTGGTTGATGGCATTCAGAATCTCAGTGCTGCCTTGAGAACAATTTTGGGGTCCTGGCTGGGTGGGCTGGCAGCAAAGTGAAAGTGTGTGTGGTAGCTCTGCTGCCTCTTTGCTCATTGTCCTTTTGCCCATAGGTGTGCCAGCACAGGAGAGGGCACCTGCCAAGCTCATCGTGTACCTACAGCGCTTCCGGCCTCAGGACTATCAGCGCCTGCTCCAAGTAGATAGCTCCAGAGAGGAGCCACAGGGTACTAAACATCCTGACAGCAACGTGGGCTAGGGGCTGTCGCTTCCCAGAAGGGCAAGAGAACTCTAGGTTCAGTGGGGTCCACACTGGATTCACAGTGCCTCTTTCCTTCTGATGTGGGCTCCTCTCTCTCCAGCTCTCCCTCCAGCTCTCCCTGTTCTTTTACCCTGTCCTTAGTTACCCCTCCTGGAGCCCTTCCTGGTTGCCTTCTCTCCCTCATCCGTCAGATGCAATCTATGGGTCGCCCCTCTCCCCTGGCCGCTAAGCAGCCTCCATTGATTTCCGCTCGTGTTTATAGGATTTCCACTTAGCCGTGATCAGTAGTTAAGCACAGGAAAATCCCTTGCCACCCCCCTCCCTTGGTCGATGCCATTGATTCTGCCAGCAGCTCTGAAACCGCCTTACAGCTGAGTTAGAGATGAGGGGAGGCAGCAGGGATTTCCCTGCCTTGGGGTGTGGGGAATAGCAGCAGGTTGGGAAAGGGTTGGGAATTCTTGTTAGAAATCCAGAAATTCTACTTTGATTTTTGCCACAGTGCCCAGCTCTGGCCCAGAGGGTAGAGCGCCTCTTGTGGCAGCTAAGGGACAAATGTGTTCCCAGACCTGGGAAGAGGTAGAAAGGAAGCCCTTATTACTGAGACAGGTTCCCAAGGTTCCAGGAAAGAATCATACTTCCTGTGTGAGAAGGTTCTTTCCTTGCTGTTATTCATACATATTTTCTACCTCAGACATATCCAAACACGGTTTTCCTCCTGCCTCAGGCTTTATTGGGCTTTCAGTATTTGTGGGGGAGAGTAGGTCCCCACAGTTTTGCAGTGACAAATGCAGAACAGAGTGCCACCTAGTGGTGGCTGTCGGGTAGGATCCCAGCTGCTGGGGCTAGGGGCTTTGGGGCAGGAGGATTTGGGGAGTGAATGGAGGGAGTTACTGCCATGTCTCCACAGGCAAGTTGTTCACCTCAAAGATCTCCTGCACCGACTGGCCAAAGTGGTTGTAGGTGAGGCGCAGCTTTAGCCGCAGAGGGGCCTAGGAATAGGAGCAGAGACCAGGGTTAGTGCCCGTGATGTCTTCCATGTCGGGGTCTTATCCACGAGGCCCCCAAACTCACTTTGTTAGGATTGAGGATTCTGAAGAGCTGAGTGATGGGCACGCCACCCCGAGCCGGAGCTGTGTTTCCACTGGGGGCCTGAAGCTGCAGCTGGAAACTCTGAACGCGGGAGGTTTGGGCAGAGCACAGTAAGGCAGCTGGCCCGGCTCAGGCAGCCCCTTCACACTGAGTGGCTCCAAGCCCTCTTCCCATACTTCCTAGGCACCTGTCCTATGTGCTGTTCCCTCCCATCTTATTCTCTCCCACCCGCTGCTTTGTGGCCATTTCTCCTAGATGCTTAGGCCATCACTGTACCCTGATCTGTACAAACCTTGGGCACAGCTGCCTGGCAGATGAAGTGGGTGACATCATCCTCTGAGGAGTTAGTAGTGGTGACAGTGATTAAGAGCAAAGCAGGGGTTCCAGGGTGTCGAGCAAAAGACAGATTCAGCCGTACTCCCTCACGTTCAAACACTTTGAGATTCGGGATGGGAGCTGGAGTAGGGAGAAGCACTCAGTGTGCAGGCTCGAGGTGACATGTTCACTCACTCAGCAACAACAGAGTGAGCACCGTTCACCCTTCAATGCCTGAGGGGCTTGTGACAAAGTAGACAGGCAGCTAGGTTGAGGTTGGAAGGATCACAAGTTCAGCGCCAGCTTGGGCAACTTGGTGAGACCTAGCTTAAAATTAAAAAAAAAAGACATGGGGTGTAGCTCAGTGTAGAGGACTTCCCTAGCATTTATGAGCCCCTGGGTTCAGTCCCCAACAATAAAACAGAAACTTAAAAAAAAAAAGGTTGAATGGGGCTGGGGATTTAGCCCAGCAGCACAGCGCTTGCCTGGCAAGCGTGAGGTCGTAAGTTTGATTCCCGGTACCAGAAAAATACACACACAAAAAAAGTTGAAGCTGACAGCCTAGTGGGGTAGGAGAAGCAAAAACAAAGATAATCGGTGTAATGGGTACTGTGAGTGAAGTAAATGAGACCAGCATAACTAGGAAGAACTACTTTAAATAGGAACAGTAGGGGAGAGCAACTGACATTTCATGGAGACAGAATGAAACATGCAATGCAAGGGCTCTGGGTGGGAGGGTTTGAGTAACTAAGGGGCCAGTGGAGTGGGCGCTGGGAGAGTGGCATGAGAAGGGCCAAGGAGGAAACAGGGCCCTGCAGAGGTGGCGGGGGGGAGGTCCAAACAAAGGAAGACAAGAGTGGACAGAGGGGACTGGTGTGATTGAATGAGCCTCACCTACCAACAGGGGGTGCTCTGGGTTAGGGGCGGGACGCACAGGAAGGGAACACTGAGCCACAGTCTGCAGCTCCAAAGGGGAAAGCACATTCCCACCAGCCTCCTCTACCACATGGCCCCCTTGCTGAGGTTTACCTGGGGGTGGTGGTGCACAGGGGAGATCGAGGAGGTGTACTAAGCCACCCTCTGGGGAGGGGTTTGGAGGGGCTGGCTGCTGGGTGTCCCCAGAAGCGTCATCCAGGAGATCTAGCAGATCCAAGAGCTTTGAGGTCTAGGGGAAAGGGTGGGAAGGATTAGGGCTGGGCATGGAAGGTGTAGGCAGTGATGGTGCAACTGCAACACAAACCCACTTATTTATGGAGAAGTGCCAACTGCAATTAAACCGGAGTACTGAGGTTTTAGTTTAGGGAAAACTCACAAAACATCTTTTGTTTTAAAACCACCACTGCTACAGGGCCTCCAGTGTCCTCACCTGGAGCTCTGTGGGGACAGGGCCCTTGGCTTTGGAAAGCTGCGCTGCTTCTCTGCTTTCCTTTGCTTTCTCATCAGCCTCACGGCTGCCATGGTCCACAAGGGGCATCTTTTCAAGGATGGCAGCTCTGAAACGGTGGAATACAAGTGTTCTTTTGTGTGAACCTGCACCTCTCACAAGATGCATCTGGCAGGAGAGCTGGCAACAAGGAGCGCCCTGGGCACATGGGGGTCAGAAGTGCCCTGTGATTTCCTAAGATGGCACACTTGAAGCTTAGCTTCAGTGACTGGGTGGAGGCTCTCCCTGGAAGGGGAAGGATGCAGGGAAGGTTGAGAGCCTTGGACCCAGAAGGGGGCATTTGGGGAAGGGCAGGGCCTTGGGTTCTGCAGGCAGCAGGCTGTGGGGCGCACCTCATGTGGTCGTACTTCTGGAAGAGCATGTTATACTCCACAGCCCGCTGCTGCAGCTCCACGTCCAGACAGCTCCCGTAGATGGACACCACCTGGCGGATGCGGCTGACCCAGTGTGGCGTGTGAGTGGCAGTGGCACTTTGTCCTGCCCTTTCACTCCAGGATGTGGCAGGGAAGGGGGAGGCCCGTAGAATAAGAAGACACTAAGCTACGTGGCTGAAAGGCTGGGAGGCACAGAAGTGTGTACGCCTGGAGACTGAGAAACCGGGGAGCACCATGTGGGGAACTTTTGACAGCCTGGAACTGCTGCTTACTTGGTGTCCCCCTGGAGCCGGGTGCTGAGCTTCATGAGGGCTGTGAGGGCATATCCGCGGGTGGCTGGCAGGGACATGTGGGACTGCAGCACCTTTTCCAGTAGGGCCACCACCTCCTCCTCTTCTACCTTCAGGTGTGGATGCATGTGATGACCCCGGGTCCAGCCCTGCTCCCTGTCATGAGTCCCTTAGGGGACTACCACGTAGGTCTCACCTGAAGGGGTTCAGTTTCCTCACAGTTTTCCAGCAGGAAGTCCCCATACTCCCCTATGCACCAGGCAGCCACCTGCACCAGCGGTTGCTGTGTGGGAGAAACACTGATGGGCGAGTGTGTGGGGTCCTCCTCTCTTCTAGACTGAAACATTCCCTAGGCAGTGCACAGATGGGTTGGCAGGGTGGGGAAAGGGAAGTTGGTAGGTAGGCTCTATCTAGTTCCTAAGTGCCTACTCCCCCCTGGTGGCCAAGCGTGAGAACGACATGGTCTAACCAGGTGATGGAGCCTGGAGTGGTGCTTGCTCTGAAGAAAGTGGGTAGTTTCTGCCCACCTTACTTAAGAATGGAAAAGGAGGCTACACGGCTGGGAGTGGTAGCGGATACCTGCAATAATGCACTCGGGAGGTTGAGGCAGGAAAACTGAGTTTGAGGCCAGTGTAAGCTACTTTTTTTTAGTTTGGTTTTGTTTTTCTTCCGGTACCAGGAATCAAACTCACAACCTTGTGCTTGCCAGGCAGGCACTGTGCCGCTGAGCTAAATCCCCAGCCCCAAGTCTAAGCTACTCAATGAGACATCTCAACAAAGCAAAAGGAGGGGGGCTATAGATTCTGGCCAGCACCTGTTAACTCAATCTACATTTGAGGTAATAATAAAATAAGTACATGCACAATGTTTTATCTGTCTCATTTGATTTTCCAGGCACGAAACTAAGCCCACAGGGCCTAAAGGAGGTTAAGTTAGTCACCTGGGGTTCACACAGCCAGTTGGTAGCAGAGCCAGGACAGCAGCCCAGATACTCTAATTGAAAGGCAGGCTCTGTCTTTTACGTGGTACTAAGGCTTGAGCCCAGGGCCTTCACACTGAGCTGTATCTCCAGCAGTTTTATTTTGTGACAGTCTCAATAAGTCACTCAATTGCCCCAGGTGGGCTTAAACTTAGGATCCTGCTGCGTCAGCCTTCCAGAGTGCTGCGATTACAGGGACACTCAGCCATGCCTTGTGGCTGACTCTGAGGGCAAAACCGTTCAGAATCCAGTGCAAGAAAGGGACCTAGGAGGGGCCAGGGAGTTCCTGGGCAGCCCTCAACTGTGGCAGGTAGGGATGGTACCTGAGAGATGTCCTCTGCCAGGGCATGGTAGAGGCGGTGCACAGAGTAGGCATGGAGCTCCTGGGCGCCTCCAATCAGTTGGGTCAGGTTGGCCACTGCATCATCCCGTACATAGGCACCTGCCTGGAGTGGGGTGGGTAGCCTGTCAGTGGGATGAGCTCTGCTACTCCCGCCCAGCTCTAACCAGCCCATCTCACCGTTGTCAGCACATGCAGGATGGTGTCTATATGCCACCGCTTGGTTGGAGCAAACCTAGGGGACACAGCTCATCAGTCCTGACACTATCCCTTGGAAGACTGCATCCTCTCTGCCTGCTGGCATTGTCACCTTACCTCTCTGCGGCCAGCAGGATGCCTGAGGCACAGTCCGCACGAAGATCCGGTGGGCAGGACTCCAGAAAGGCCTGCAGCTCCTGTGTCATAGCTTGCACATTGGAGCTGTTCACCAGAGCCAGGCTCAGCTCCAGGGCCCGCCTGGGGGAGGAGACAGGTGTCTGCAGGTATCCCAGGTCACCCTGCTGCTCTGGGCCGGTTTGGATCTTGGCCACTTGACACTGGCTCCTCCGTCCTCTTGTCCCCGCTCTGCTTACCGGCTGAGGGAGGCATCAGTTTCTCGCAGACATTCCACCACGGTGGGGCGATGTCGCTGCACAGCACTGTGGTCAGACTGTACCACCCTCAGCAATGAGGTCAGAGCCACATACCTGGCCAGGGTGGGAAAGGCTCTATTGTACCACGGCCAACAGCCCTGACAGTCTGTCCTGCCTGGATATAATGGTAAGAGGTACGCAGATCGGGAGGTTCTGGAGGGAGACGTTCAGAAGGCCAGGGTTTAGTGGCACAGCCTAGCAAGACACCAGGGACTCTTACCTAATGTTCTTATCACTGTTGAGCAGGAAGTGGCCAAGAATGTTGACAGCTAGAACCTGTAGGGGACAGAGGGCTGGGACATTCACAGAAGACACAACCTGTTCACTCAGGAGTAGAGACCACATGGCATAGGGTGACAGGTACGTGGGAGAAGCCAGTGAACAGGGCCTATGTGTGCCTGGCTGAGGCAGGTGGCAGGCAGGGCCCAGTCAAGAATATATGGGATGATACCCGTAGACCAGCTGCAGAACGGATGTCCATGATGGTGAGTACCGTCTCAAACAGGACAGCGCTGCCGGCATTTCGGCTGGTGTTTGTATTGGTGGCCACCTAAGTGGATGCGAGGGAGATGCATGTGCACGGGGCTTGTGCTCCATCCTAGGGTGCTGGTGCTTCTGTCCTGTTTCTCATTTCCCCTCGTCATTCCACAACCATCCAGCAAAGTTCCCCAAACCCTATTATGTGCTAGGGCCAGCCTGGGCACTGGGGCAATAGCACTGTGACAGCCTGTGTCCCTCCTGCATGGCTTTCACTGGTTAGAGAAGATGGAGGAGTGCTTAAATGACTGCTGCACAGTAACAGTCCATGTGAGGGATACCCTGGGCTGGTAGGCCCCACCTTCCCTCCACAGGGGGATCTAAGCAGTGGCCCCCTTCCGAGCCCCCACCTGGGCCAGCAAATCATTCATGGTCTCACTGCTTTCCTCGTGGTTCCGGCCCAGGATTCGAAGCACACGAAGTATCTGGACCTAAGGTTGTGTTAACAGGTGGAAGGTGAAGGAGTTAATAGGAGTTGTGGGCCAGAGGAGAAAAATCCAACATTGAGGGCTTTGGTGAGCCTTTTAGAGCCTCCCACCCCTCCCTCTCATCTCCACAGGTGCTTTATGTGGGAGATCAGGAGTTAAGGACAAGCTTTTATTTTTATAAACTGGATTTTCTGAACTTTAAGCCTCTCTTCTCCCCCAGCTGGTTCTGGGGGGACCAGGGCAATCCTGAGCTTGCCGGCCTCCTGCACAAGACACTGAATCATAGTGTCCTCTAGGAGGTGACCACTGACAATGGTCTTACTGCTAAGCCTTCTCTGTTCCAGGGGCACAACCGGGGGAGGTTACCCCACCTGCAGAAAAGGGTCACTGACTCCAGATATGCTGTGCTCTGTGGAGTATCCTGTTGTCACCAGAGTTCGGAGGATCTGCACCAGCTTGGGTACCACCTGGAGGGAGCACACAGCCTTGACTGGGCATCCATCCCCATCCTCTCAACCTTATGCCCCATTCCTCCACCACCGCCCCTCTTTCACCAGCCCACCTTTCGAAAGTGCCTGAGGGCTGCAGGGCTTCGTTGGCAGAGCTCCATGATCAGCGTGATGGTGCCCAGCAGGATGCCTGGGGTCAGGGTCGGGAAATGAATGGGGGGGCCAGGGCACAGGACGGCCTACTGCGTGCATGTTGATGTGTGTCCTAAGAGCTGGTGCTCCCGTCCTGTTTTTTACCTCTGTCTATAGCCAGACCTGAAGCAGAGGATGGGGAACCCAGCGGCCTTACCATGGTGGCGCTCGTGAAGCAGTTTGGCACACGGTGGAAGGAAGATGTCAGAGAGCTCAGGGACTTTTCGAATCATGTGCACTGCAGTCAGAATAGCCTGCCGGGGTGAGAGGCCTCAGATAGAACGGGGGCCCACCAGGTGGGGCTCCTCACCACTCCTGCCTGGCAGACCAGGGAGCTTCTGGAGGGACAAGTGCTTAGACCTTTGTATCTCACCTTTTTGCGTACATAGGGGCCTGGCCGTAAGAGCAGCTTCTCCACCTCTGTGGCCAGGTCCCGGCACATCTCAGCAGAGCCCATGGTGCTCAGAGTGCACAGAGCCAGGCCTTGAACTGGCTGAACCCCCTGGCTCAGGTCACTGCAGGGTTGGGAGGACGGACACTTAAGCCTCTGAGAAAACCAGGCCTTCCCACTCCATACAGCAGGCGGCCCCCTGGGATTGGTTTTCCGTTCTCCCGTCTCCCTGATTTGGAGTGCCCCCAGAATCTGCTCACTTCTTGATGCTGTTGGTAATGAGCAGGTGGGCATCGTGCCTCTCATCCAACAGAAGCATGGCCCCCAGGTAGCCCACCCTCTTGTCTATGAATCGGGGGGAAGCAATCAGTTTCAGGCACTCCATCTGTAGAGAAGGGGGCAGACTGGTAAGGGCAGGGGTGAAACCAGACACTAACATCCCTGCTCCATCGTTTCCTTAACTACTTTAAGGTGGGACATGATAACTACCACCCTCTCTTCAGCCAGAGAAGGTGCTTGAGATTCAGGCTGGGGGGGGCAGTTTCAAGGGCCCAGGAGTGGAGGAGGAGGGGAGAGGAAAGGAGATGCCTTCAGTGAGGCTGGTCAGAGAACGAAGGGTTTAGGTCAGCTGACAAGCAGGGGTTGCAATGAGTAAAGGGGTTTTTCAGTGCATGGTGAGGGCTCAGAACTGGAAAGTCAAAACAGTCGGGGCACAAATACGTGTGAGCAGGTCCACGACCCGGTCTCCTTGAACTCCAGAGGGAGGTATCTCTGGCCATTACCTGTCCAAAGTGGGCGGGGTAGCCCAACATGTGGACGTAGAGCAGTTTGGCCAGCTGGCGGTGCCTCTGCACTGGGTCCCCATCACGGAAGGATGCCCGGATATGGGCGCTCTCCTTCTGGATCACCTCCCGTTCCTGGGCCTGAGTCTTAGCCCCGCGAATCTCCTCGATGAAGTCCTGAAGCTTTAGCGACGACACCACCATGCTGGGGGAGGCGGGCGGAGCCCAGGAATGGACAGGGCTTTAACACTATCTGGCCGGGTGGTCGGCCTCGTCCCATGCCAAGATCTTAAGGGCCCTGATGCCACCGCTACGCTAAAATTGAACCGACATTTACCTTTGCCCACCCGGGTCTCCAAATGCCACCGCCCAAAGTGCTCCCAATACGCATGCGTCCCCAACCCACGCCTGTTCCTACCGAGCGTGCGCCTCTGCCTCGCCTATTACCCCCTCCCTCCCCCACCTGGTGTCCCATCAGCGGCTCAGCCTTTGCTTTCCTTCCAGGGCCCTGCGCAGCTGCTTTTGCGAGATCCCTTCCCGCCATTTCTATCTGGCGGCTTCGGTTTTCCCGCCCCACAGCGCCAAGTCTCACCTGTCTTCAGTTTTAACTGTGCTTCTCTACCCCCCAGCGCTTCCTGGTTCGGGGCCCAGTAGGGGTTGGAGCTTGATCGGGTGCTTCCCTCTCCCCGCCTCCACCGCGGGACCCGCCCTCGTGAGGCTTCCGACCTCGGTCGCCTTAGGGGATGGAGCTGTTGCCCGCGAAGGGTGTCGGGCCTGTATAATAAAACTGCTGTTTTTACATTCTCATCGCCGGGAAAGTCCCGGAGAGCTTGGGTTTTGAAGCCGTCGCAGCCTAAAGGAGATGACGATCCCCCCCTTTTTTGAACTTTTTTATTAATATATTTTTTGTTAAATTTCTTTGTATTTTTTTTCCTGCAAGACTTGTTGTTGGCGGCACTATTGTATAACTTCAATCCCAAATTCCATGAAATAGAAATCAGAAGTAAAGGTTGAAAGGGGAGGAAGGAGGGAGGCAGGCCAAGGAGTAAACAGAGTTTGACTAGAAAAAAAGAGGGTGTGTGTGGTGGGCATTCCCGGGCAAGGCCATTCCTTGAGGGAGGGGGTTGGCAGGCAGTTGTCTCTGCCTCATGCAGGGGAGCGAGGAAAGATCCCCAGGGGACCCTACAATCCCCTTTCTAGGGCTTCCTGCCTCCAGGGGAAAAGCTAGTACCAGGGATCAGCCAGCAACCTCCCACAGGGCTCCCCACCCACCTCAGCCTAGGTCTGACTCCCACTTCCACCCTCCTGGGAACTGGGGAGATAGCGGCTTCCTTTGATCCCCTCCTCTGGCTGTTTCCCATTCCACAAGATTCTGACGTGATGGGGGAAGGGACAGAACCCATTTGGAGACTGCTAGACTTGTCACAACTGCTGCCCCATGGGCTCCTGTGAGCCTCCTGGTTCTATCTCCCCAGAAACACCTCCCCCACTACAAATGCGAGTTGGGGAGCAGGGTCCTGGCTTAAATGCCTCTAATCCTCTGCAGTAGCATTGTCTCCTTCAGGCCCTATAGGAATTTAATCAAAGGCCACAAGTGAGTCCAGACCAACCAAATAAACTTTTAAGGGACACAGAAGGGCAGAGAGGTCACTGGCAAAGCCCGAGAGGGGTGGGCTTGGCCGCACTGGGTATTTTTTGTTCCTTTACACGTTGCTCTTGGTGTGGCATGCCCTCACAGGGGGTCGGAAGAGGGACGGGCTATAGAGGAAAGAAAGAGGGAGATTCTAGGACGGTATTCTACTGTTCCCTTCCTTTAGCTTCTTCCAGGGAGGATCAAGCTAGGGAAGAACCTAGCAAGGGGCGGGGAGGTGAGGTAATAGCCTCCAAGGTAAGAGGCGGAGGCAGCATCTCTCCCAGCCTTTTCACTCGGGCCAGGAAGCCACAAGGCTCAGCCAGCAGCTTGTCCAGCATTCAGTCACTTCATTTCCATTTTCTTCCTTCTCTCCATTCAGCGTCCAGGAGACTCCTCAGGACACCAAATCCCCACCCTCAGTGAAGTTTAGGTTTAAAGAAAAGGTGGGGAGGGCAAGGGGCAATGGTCTGACTTAGATTTGTGTGTCTCAGAGATGAGCACCTCTGAGAGAGAAAAGCCCTTCATATGTAAACAATCTAGAGAAGAAGGGGATGAGGGAGGGAGAGACAGGTCCAGGATAAATGAGAGAATCTGAAAGAAGAGAGGGAAGGCAAAAGCAAGAGACAAAAACAAAGAGGGGCAGAAGAGAAAGGAAAGATAGGAGAAAAAACAACCAGGATGAGGAAAAGAGAAAAAGGCAGGCTGAAGGGGTGAAGAGGCAGGCAACCAAAGCCAGAACTAGGCCAGGAAGTAGCCTCAGGTGAGGAGCTGGGAGAACAGGAACGCCAGGCTGAGGTCCAGGAGGGCCACGGCTCCCACCACCAGCGGGTTGGCAGCTCCCTAGAGAGACAGAGGGGGAAGCAGCCTCAGTCCCCAAGGACCAAATCCACTGTTGTGTCCTGCCTCCCTGTCTTGGCTTCAGTAGCAAAGCTGAAGGTCCCAGTCACCTCCCTGCAGACAGCAGGTAGATCTCCAACCTTTGCTTTGTATTGCGAAACCCCCTTCTCCCAGGCAGTGCCCCACCTCTGCTCTGGCACTTTCAAGACAGGGCCAGCCCTTTCTCCCTCCTCCCTCCGCTCCCCTATCAGCATATCATGTGGCTCAGGCAGAAGGTGCCTGGCCTTAGTAGCAGACATTGGCAGCAGCAGCCAGTACTGCAGTAAGGCAGAGGGATGGAGGGGGTGAGGATGTGGTTGCTAGGAAACAGGAGATGGCCTGGAATCCAATCAGAGCAGAGGGTTATGGAGAAACTCCGCCTCTTCTGGTCTTCTGCCTTTTTTCCTATTTTCCTCCTTCCCAGGAGAGGGAGGGGGAGTGAGGGTAGGGAGGGAAGAATTTTTTCTTTTTTTATTTCTGGGCACCAAAGAGAGAAAGTGCGGAGGTGGGGGTGGGGGTGGAGTAGGAAACTGGGAGCTGGAAATGATATGGAAGGAGAACAGGCAAATATGTTCTGGTTCTATCATTAATTATTAGTTTGTAACTGTGGGAAAGTTACTTTAACTGCCGTGGGCCTCAGTTCCCCCATCTGTCAAATGAGGGAGCTGGAATTGAAGGTCTCTAAGGTTCCTTCCAGCTTGAAAGTTGGCTATTTTTTGAAGTGGGATATGATCCAAGACTAGTCTGGCAGAGAGGAAGCTGAGTTGAAATCAAAGCCCCTTAGGGGGTCAGAGAGGCCCAGAAAGGGTGGGAGGCTAGGTGCAGGGACAGGGGATGTCTCACCGGCTGGGCAGGCCTCTCAGTTGCAGCAGGTTCCTCAGATTCTTCCATCAGGCACCCAGCATCCAGACCCCTTGGGGAAGTGCCCCTCAGGACTGGACTGGCAACAGGCTCAGGCTCTGAGCCCCCCGAAGCCCTCAGCTGGGGCAGGGGTTCTTCATCTTCACCTTCCTCCTCTCGAAGACTTCCCGAACTGTCGCTGCAGCCTCCAAGGAGGGAGGAACCATCTCTGGGCCCTGGCCCCTGCATCCCAGCCTCGTCCTCAGCCTCATAGCCGGCTAGTTCCTCCACCTGCTCACCTGGGCCCCCCCACTCCTCAGGCCAAGATTTAGGGCTGGAGAAGGGGCCCCAGTCCCCTCCAGGTGGCAGTGGGTTCCGGCAGGCAGGGGGTCGCCAGGGCTGGCGAGAGGAGGCAGGACTGCTGGGCAGTTCGGGAGAGCCCTCTGATGGGGTTAGTCCGTTCTCGTACACCCCAGGGCTGTCCTCATCCAGTGGTTCTGTGTCGGAACCTTCTGAGTCCTGCCTGGGTCTGCGGCCTGGGTAGGGACAGCTAAGCATCAGTGGGGCTTGCTTGGCTGCAGGCTGGAGCAGTTGTAGCCCCTGAGGTACTTCCCAGGCCTTTGGTATCCCCAGGCTCCTTGCTTCTCAACACCAGACCCAAACCCCATTACCCTGCTCCATAATTCCCAGTCCTACTCCCCAGACAACTGGGTGTGGTTCCCATCCGCTACACCCTTGGACTTTGTACTTTGGCTTTTCCCATCCCCAGACTTCTGGTGCTTACCAGCCCCTTTGCAGTCACCTGAGCCTCTCTCGCCCTCCAGGGGCTCACCCATTCCCCAGGCTGCCCACACCTTACCTGGAGCCTCTAGCATGGGCTGCAGGTCCTCTGCGATCAGTTTGGCCATCCGTGCTGCCTCCACGGCCTTCTCGGCAATGCTGCTGGCTGCCACTGCCTTCAGGAGGGCGTCTGCGGCCCTATAAGGGCCCAGGGGAGAGAGACTTAGTGGATCTCCCCCCACTTTAACTGCTCAGACACTCCATCTCCCTCGTCCTTGTCCCCACCATATCACATCCTCGGGGTCTTACTGAGCTCACCTCTGGAGTCCTCACCCTGCCTCACGCTCTGCCAGCTGCTCCCCTTCCTGGGCAGGCCAGACAAGCTCACTTTCATTTCCTCTCCTGGACTGGGCTGTTTGCTGTCATCACACCCCGCTGCTCCTCTCGCACCCTCTACCCTTGAGTCCTGTAGTAACACTTCCACCTTTCAGCGACAGGGGCCAGGCCCTCTCCAAACTGTTATTCCACTGCTGTCCTGTTCCCTGCCTAGTGACAACTGAGCTTTCTCTCAGCACATCCTCGGCAGTCCAGCTTGATGCTTACAAGCTCTGATGATTGCCCTCTTTGCAGGGAGAACCTCCTGTTGTTACCAACCCCTCATACCCACTGGGCTCACATTCCTCCCTGTGGTGTCCAGGGCACTGTCCAGTACCATGATCTTTCCTTCCTTGCGGGTCTACCTCCCCACTGCCCCCTTCTTCTCCCTGCCACTGCCAACCCTCCTTATTACTTAATCCTACCTTTTCCAGGGCAGTTTTCCCAGCATGAGAATTTCCCATCTGGCTTTTCTGTGGCCACTTACCACACTGTTCTCCCCACTGTCACTGGCACTGTTCCCCTACCCTGCCCTATGCTTTTCTGAGCTTCAGAACCGGAATAAGGGTGGATCTCCCATTTATGCTACAGTTGCACCCTCTTCTCTCTGCCAGTATTTTCTCAATATTACAGTTATTCTTCTGGGTAAGCTCTCAGTCTCTGTTTCACGCCCCTGTTCCATCTTGTTCTGCTCCCTTGGTACAGGTCACCTGGAAGCATTATCAGTCCTTTGTCCATTGCTGTTTCTCAGTTTTCCTGATGTCAGATGCTTCCTTGATTTTTCCCTGTCCCTCCCTGCCCTTAGTTGCAGATGGCTTACAATTGTTAAATTAGCTCTGTAATCCTGACTGAAGTGTGGCATAAAAGAGCGGAGATAATCAGATGGACTTTGATATGGGCTTGAATGGTTCAAGACCCCCGACTCCTTCTGGCGACAGGCTTGTGGCTTAGCAAGGCAATCTGGACCTGAAGGATAGTGATGTGCACTGTAGTCTTAGGTCCAACTCCTATTTATGGAAGGACTTCAAATAACCCTGTTCTTTGCTGTCTTAGGGTGTTCAGACTGCCTATGACTAAGCCTGTCCTGAAACTGAGCTGGTCTTAGGGTTTGGAGCAGGGTATCAAGGCACAGTCTTGAGTTTCACTGAGTTCTCTTGACAATCACGACATGACAAGGGGCTGCATTTTTGTGTCTGGAGGATATGGATGATGAAGTCTAAGCAGTAGACTTGCTCAGGCATCAAGGCCAGGCTCAGGCTACCTGGCAGAGGCACCTGCTGCTGATGCTGTGCTGTTCCCATGGCAGCCAGCAGCCAATCAGTTTCCAGGCCTGTTGCTGGGGAGACCAACCAGCCTTTTCCCACAGTCTGATCCTCTAGTTACCGAGATCAGTTTTTTCTTGCACATGCCTCCACCTTATCTAGCCCAAAATGTTCCCTGTTGCTCTGCACCCCCCCACCCCTTCCCTGGCTTAAAGCCCTGGATCTTAACAACCAGGCACTCAGATACATCTACAGATGTACATTCTCTGGCACAGACATTACTCTAGGTTTGACATGTTCACACTCAGGCATAAACATAAACACACACACCCTGTGACCCATTATACAAATTCACTGAATTATACTTGGACATATCCTGACCTCTATCTAGCTCTCTGAAATAGTCTTGAATGTTAATAAAATCCCTTCACTGTGCTCTCATCTCTTTTAAAAAAACTTCAATATATAAACACTCAGATGTGAGCTTTCTAAATCAGGGGCCTATGAGTCCAATTACAAATAGAGTTTTGGCTTTCTTTACATCTGTGGTACCTAATTCAGGAGTCACAACCCCTATTAAACACTCATTGAGAGCCGGGCGTGGTGGTGCACACCTGTAATCCCAGCATTCAGGAAGCTGAGGCAGGAGGATCATTGTGAGTTTGAGGCCAGCCTGGGCCACAAAGTGAGCTCAAGGCCAGCATGAACTGCAGAGCAAGACCCTGTCTTAAAAACAAAAACAGGGGGCTGGGGATTTAGCTCAGTGGCACAGTACCTGCCTGGCAAGTGCAAGGTCATGAGTTCGATTCCTGGTGCCAGGAAAAAAAAAAAAACCCAAAAAACAAAACAAACAAACAAACAAAAAACACCAAACACGCATTAAACACTTGGAATGTGACTGGTCTGAATGAAAATGATGTGTTATAAGTGTGATTTACATACTAGATTTCAAAGACTTGATCCAAAGGGAATGTGTAATCTAATAACTATATTGATTATGAATTGAAATATGTTGGATATACTGGCTTAATACAAATATTAAAAAACTTTTTCACCCATTTTTAAAAATTTTTTTTGTCTTTTTGAGACAGGGTCTTACTATGCAGCTCAGGCTGGCCTTGAGCTCATTTTGTAGCCCAGGCTGGCCTCAAACTCGCAATGATCCTCCTGCCTCAGCCTCCTGAGTGCTGGGATTACAGGCGTGCGTCACCATGCCAGGCTCTTCTTATTTATTTATTTATTTTTTTGGTTTTTCTCCAGTACCAGAACCGAGCCCACGACCTTGCGCTTGCCAGGCAGGCGCTTTGCCGCTGAGCTAAATCCCCAGCCCCCTCTTCTTATTTTTAATGCGGCTAATAAATGATTTATAATGACATATTTGGCTTACATTATATTATTATTGGGAAGCAGTACTTTGGATAGCAAGGTTCCTGATGGATGGGAATGTAATCTGATTTACAGAAAGAAATTTTCATTTATAAGTAAGTCCTCTCCCTATACCTTCACCTAAAGTCAGGGAAGCAAAGCTGGGAGAGACTAGCTTTTTCAGATGGGTGGTCAGGCTGCATAAATTAAACCTCCCCAAGGCCCAAGGCTGAAATGGTGCCAGGCTGGGGCAGTTAGGAAGGTACCACTTCCTGTTCTGCCCAAGGCTGACACTCCCAGCCTGAGGCCAGAAGCCTGGATGGGCTGCAAGAGCAAGACCAGGGACAGGTCAGTTTCAAGAGGTTTCTGGGCAGGAAGAAAGAATGCTCATTGCTACTCCCACACACAACGATGGATTCAATGGACACACATCTCCATGCAAAAGACACTGAGACACAGTTTTGCACCACTTCCGCAAACACCCAGCCACCCAGTTATACCCAAATCCACCTGTAGCCTCAGATATAAACACCTCAAGTCCCAGGGCTACAATTGCCTGGCCTTAGGCTTGCTCTTTCCCATCAGACCCTAGGCCTTGGACCTTGATCCCCTCTTGGACACCCCTCTCCTTTTCTGTGTCTAGCGTACTCTCTCCTCTTGGCCCACCTGGCAGCGGCAATCTCCTGGCGCTGACGGGCAGCACTCACGGCTCGACGGGCGCCCTCGACGGCCCTGTCCACCTTCTCCTTGACTTTGCCCCGACGCAGGGCCAGAGGCAGGAGGCTGCGAACACGGCCCCCGTGCACCAGCCGGTTGCGCTTGTACTTGCCCTCTTCACGGGAGCCGTCTGGACGGGTGGTGCGCCCGTAGCCGTGCCGTCGGTTGCCCAGCCACTCGCCCTCGTAGCGCAGCCCGTTGGAGCGCTGGCTCACGCCGAAGCCGCTGCGCCTGTCAGCACGCCACTCACCAGCGTACACTTCAGTGGCTGAGCCCTCGATCAGGGCGGGAGGCGCTGGGACGGGAGGCCCGCTGGCCTCGGAGCCCGGCGGTCCGGTGCTGCCCACTTCGCTGCTCACCTCGCTGCGCAGGGATCCCCGCTTGCTGCCCAGGGAACTGCGGCGTCCGCCTGCCCGAAGCCCGCTGAGCAGCAGCGAGCGGCGGAAGAATCCACCTGCTGCTGGAGTGCGCTTGCGGGAGGACGCGCCGTCGGCGTCCCCAGGCCCGGCCAGCACGAAGCCGCCCCGGGAGCCAGAGGCTGGGCTGCCTCCCTCGTCGCCCGGCAGGGGCAGGGGTGGGGGCGGCGTGGGGGGGTCGCTGTGGCCCGAGTCCAGGGAGGTGCGGCGGGGTGAGCGCAGCAGCGCCGCCTGATGGTAGGGTACACTCTGGCGCACCCCGTAGCCGTGGCGCTTCCCGGACTGCCACTGGCCCTGGTAGGTGCCTGCGGGCAGAGCAGGATAGGGACAGAGTCAGAACCCGGCGCTCATGCTCCTTGCATCCCAGGCCCCCAAACCCTTGAAGGCCCAAGTGTCAGGTGGGAGAGGTGGAGGCAGCTGGCATGGAGGCTTGGAGGGGCACTGGGAGAGGCAGCCAGGTTAGGCTGGGTCGCAAGGTGTAGCCAGGCAGTGAAGAGCAGGTAGCAGCAGACACGTGGATTCCGGCACTGTGGGTAGACAGGGGAAGGCGGGGCAGGCAGGCTGGGGGTGTGTGACGGATGGAGGGTGTGAGGGACAGGCTGATGAGGGTGTAGATAGGCTTGTGACGGGCAGACAGGACTATGGGGACATGCTGACTGGGCCAGTGGTGTGAGCATACAGGCAGGCAGCGCAGAGTCAGGGACCCTCAGGCAGAGAGCGAGAAGCAGGCAGGAGACCTTCGAAGGAGGAAGGCATGCGTGTGCTGCTGGGAGAGGCAGAAAAATGGGGCTAGAGTCATAGCATGGGGAATGGTACGAGGGACAGGTGGGTGTATGGAGAAATGGAAGGATGGGCGCAGGGGAGCATGTGTCTGGGAAAGGCGTGCGCGGAACAGCAGGGCGTGGAGGGCCAATGCTGGGGAAGGCACCAGCGGGGCAGGCCGGCGGGGGGCGCACGCGGACTCAGGGGAAAGCAGTGGGCCGGGCCCGCACCTCCGTCCGAGTAGGTCTCGGTGCCGTAGCCGTCCTGAAAGCCGTCCTTCCAGAGCCCGGCGTAGCGCAGGCCGGATGCGCTCTCCCACACGCCGCTGCGCCCCTTCAGCCCGCCCAGCCACTCGCCGCGGTACGTCCAGCGGCTCTTGCGCTCCACGCCCAGCCCTTCGCGCTTGCCCTGTTGCCAGTGGCCCTGATAGCTGTGTCCACCTGGCCCGGTGAAGACGCCCAGCGACTCGAAGCCGTGCGCCCAGCAGCCGCTGTACTCGCCCTGGGCGCCGGGCCCGGTGCACACGCCGTAGCCATGTGCCCGCCCCGCCTCCCAGCCCCCCACGTAGCAGCCCCCGTCGTCAAAGTCGAACTTGCCCCCGGGGGACATGCATGTAGTTGGCGCGGCCTCAGCCCCCCGGCGGCTCAGCGCATCCTGGGGCTGGAGAGCCGGCTGGGGGCCTGGGGGCCGGGCGAGGCCTGGGGGCGGGGGCAGTTAGACCGGGGCTGGGCGGAGGGGCCCCAGCGCGGGCAGGCAGGGCCGCACCCTCATCCTGAGTGGCTGTGGAGAAAGAAGGGGCAAATGGAGAGCGAGACCCCTCCTCTTTGCCCACCACTCCCCGCCAGGTGGCTCAGGAGCATCAGCACCGCCCCCCAGGGCCCCCTCCCCCGCCCCGTCAGCAGCATCTTCCAGCCGCTCCCAAGCTTTGGGGGCGCGGGGGCTTCTCCATCCTCCCAACTTGTAGAGGGCGCCTCCCAGCACCTGGGGCTCCAACCCCAAGCAGGAGTCCCACTTCATCAGCCTAGAACCCCAGATTGCAGCGGAGGGAATGGCAGTTGCGGGGTGTGGGGGGGGGAGAGCTGGGCAGAGTCCTAGGCCACCGCTTTCCCTCCGGGTTGGTATTAGGACCCCGCTGTCCTGGTTCTTTGGTTCCCCAGTAAACCGGGGAGGGGGGTAGAGGCTGTGGCGGGGAGATAGGACCGAGGTGGGAAGACGATTTGTGGGGAAAGGATGGAGACGGGGGAAGCTCTGTAGGGGAAAGGCCAGGTGGGGATGGGCAGACGGGTGGAAAGGAGGGGGCAGGTACTCACCCTGTGGGCTGAGGCGCAGGCTGCCTCCCAGGCTCGGCGTCCATGGCAGGGTACCTCCACTCCCACCCGGGCAAGCCAAGCCCCCTCCTCTTCCGGAGAGACCGCTCTAACCCAGAGAGGGAAGGCAAGGCGCGGGAGCTGTGGGAGAGTCCCCTCTCTCCCTAGCTGGGGGGTGAGGTAGTGGCAGGGGTGGGGGAGAACAGAAGAGTGTAGGGGGAAAAATCTGCCTTGGAGATAGGAAAGAGGAGTTGGGAGCTGGATGAGAAGGGGGAGGGGGCTATCAAGAGGGGGTGTTTTTATTATTTTTTCTTCTTATGGTTGGGAGAAGAAAAAAAAAATCAAAATTCCGATTCCATCCCAGCACAAATCAATGTTTGCTCCATCCCAGCATCACGGGGGAGGCTGGGCCAGGCAGATTTAAAGGGGCAGAGAGAAGAGAGCAGAGAGAGGAGAGGGTGGGGAGAAGAGGAGACGACGAAGAAGAGTCGGTGGCAGAGATGGGAATGGCGGGGAGGGGGTGTGCCCAGGAAGAAAAGAATGGGTACCCACTAGCCCTGCAGTGAGAGAGGAGGCTGTGGGGAGGAGGACTGAGCGGTATGGAGACCCCCAGGGTAGAAAGAAACCCTGGCGTGCAGGCTGGGAGTGGGTGAGGCGAGAGGAGGAGAGAGGAGCTAGAGGGAGGAGACTGAGCTGAGGGTGGGGAGGCAGGGGGAGGCCGGAGCCAGGCGGGGGAGGAGAGATGCTCTAGAGGCCGGGAGAGGGCGAGCAGAATACAAAGAAAGAGGTGCAGGGGAGAGCGCTAAGGAGGAGGCAGATACAGCCAGGGAGGGAGGGAGGGAGGGATACCCAGTCTGGAGCTGGTGAGGGATGGCCAGGGCGTGGAAAAGCAGGGAGAAAAGAAAGGGAAATCCAGAAACAGACATGGAGATTGAGAAACTGAAATAAGGGTGTTGGAGGGAGGGAGAGGCACTGCAGAGAAGGGCAGGCATGGGTATAGAAATCCTGGCAGGCAGAGCCCAAATTGAGGGAGAAGAGCCGGAAGTGGTGCTTGTGGGGGCCCTAGGAAGAGAGGTGAACCTGCCACTTTCCTGCCTGGAAGCCTGGCTCCACAAATGCTTTTCCAGACCTCACCATCCTCCACCCTCATCAGCTGTTTCTCCCAGGCTTGGCCCTCTACAGGGAGAGGGGTGTGTTGTTTGTGTGCTGGGGTGTGGTGCTCGTGCTTGGCTAGGCGATGAAGCTTTGGGGGCTGTAGAATCTTGGCTTTTGCGAACCTAGAAGCAAAGACACATAAATATGTTTAGGCAGGCTCTCGTGGCAAGGGCCCTTCTAGCCCACCACCTCTCTATTTCTGTCCACTTGCCAGAGAGGAGTAGCACATCTGGACCTTAGTGTTTACTGACAGACACAGGCTTCTGTTCTTCAGGGATTTTGCATCCAGTTCTATCTCTGCCCCTAAGCACTCAGGGAGGAGGAGGACATTGTGTTACTGTGCCCAATTACACACAATAAGAGAGATGCACTCAATTGATTGTACAGCACCCCCCCTCCCATTTTAGAGAAGAGAACCGAGACCAGAAGAGGAAGTCACTCAGGAGAAACCACAAAGCAGAGGTGGCAGAGCTAGGATTATAACACCACAAGAATTTTCTTTCTTTTTTTTTTCTTTCAGTGCTAAGGCTCAAACCCAGGGCCTGGGCATGCTAAGCATATGTTCTACAAGTAAGCTACACCCACAGCAGATTTCAGATCTTTTGAGTCAAGTAATTCCTCCCAGAGTTCCATGTGCTTGGGAACCTCCCTTAGACTCAAAGTCTCCATTTTGAGTACTTTGGTAAAATAAAGAGCATGAAATAAACAGGGGTTTTCTTTGCATTGTGTTTTCCTCAAATCTTTATGATGAGAAACCTGTAAATTTTAAGCCTCCAAGGTGGGGATCGCGTCTCTTGAGCGCTTGGCACAGAACAAGGAAGCAGTGCTTTCACTTGAGACACGACTGTTGCTGGATCATTCCTTCATTTCTCCGGTCATCGCCATTTACATAGTTTACTGTCTGCCAGGCATCTGGCCAGGAGTTAGGGTTCCAGTGGAGAATACCTGGTGCCTGCCCTCACGGAGTCTCCTATCTAGTAGAGAAGACAGTTGCCAAGCTTTCTAGTGCGACTAGTGCTCTGCCAAGTTCACAGGGTAAAAAGAGGGACTAGGATGGAACTGAATTTAAGTTGCTCCCTAGAGAAAGAGGCATTTAAACTGATTCCCACATGAGAGAGTTCTGGGGCAGGCCTGGCTGCATTGTTCAACCCTAGATATTTAGCTCTTCCTTCTCTACCCAGTCCCTTGTCCCTGTGATTCCCCTTTTGGGAATTAAAGCAAACAAGAAAACACAATCTATGGGACAGGGAGGCCTGTGCCCTGTTCTTGAGGGAGGCAGCGTGGCAAGGGTGAGAGTTGGGGCCTGCTGCCTTACTGGTGGGTGCTTCTGTAATGTATTCTGAGATGCATATTAAGGTGCAGGGTTTGATGAAGCCCTGAAGAAATCTTGGACAGAATAACCCAGGAATGTGTGGGACATGCAATCCCAGTCCTCTATATCTCTTGGAGTGAGAGTCAACCTTGCAGCCCCTGTTTGATCTCTCCCTACCAGGTCCTGCAGTGCCCCTTTGTGGGGGAGGGACACTTTCCCCAGAGACTCCCCTTTTGTTGTACCACAATTTAGGGACATTCAGGTATTCTGGAAAAGGGAGCTAATGTTAATGGGAGCAGCTCTGCACTAGGAGCCAGGTACTGTGCTTGGCACTCCATCTATATTACCTCATCCAATCCTCGAACAAAACTGTAACTGTAAGCAGTCCGTGCTGGAGGCTACGAGCTGGGCTTCGAAAGATGGAAAAACCTGAGCACATTATGTATCTTTTCTGAGCTGCAGCTGGTGTATCTCTAAAGCAGGAACATCATAACCTGTTCCACAACTTATTGTAGAGTTTGAAATGATCATGTATGAATCGTATGTCTGAATGGTATGTATAACATTTAGCGGGAAAATGCTTGGCATAGTACCCACTGCATAGCAAGTATGCAATAAGTGGTGCCTTGAAAAATAGGTTGGCATCATGCCACTTTTATAGGTGCTGCATCTGAGATTCAGAAGGTAATTTGCTCAGTGTTGCCCAGCAAATGTATATATGTCAGCCCTTAGAGCCCAATATTTATCAGACTCCCAAGTTAGTATGCTTTCATAGGTGTATTTTGGGGAGTCCTGTTTTAAAAGTAAGATATACTAATTGAAGAATTAGGAAAATATATTACAATCCAAGAGGAAAAATAAAAATCATCCAATAGTCTGACTATATAACAAACCCTTCAGTGTATTTTTATATAATCGTTTCTTTGCATTTTTTAATTTAACTCAGTTTGTTAAATGTCACACATATGATTTTGTATCCTACTTACTCACTTAGCTTTACACTGTAAGCATTTTCCATGTCATTAAAACATCCTTGAATGTTTAATGGCTGCATAATATTTGGCTGTTTGGATGCACTATAATTTGTTGAACTATTCTAGCATAGCAGTTTTATACTGTTTGGACATTTCTACCATTAAAAATTAACATTTTTGTGTAAATCTTTGTATCTCTGATGTTTTATTTCAAATATTTTATCCAGGAAATTTAAAAAAGTATACCAATGCACACAACATAGAATAAAGAACCTCTGTGTACCCATCACTCAGCTTTAGTAATTATGGGTCTTGGCTAATTTTGTTTCTCTTCCCCCATTCGTTTGTATTAGCATACTTTTAAAGAAGACTGACTTTATTTTGCCAGAATCACTTCTAGACCGGTAGTACAGTTTTACATTCTTAACACCTGAGCATAAAAGTGCTGATCTGGTTGTGCCCTAACCTGCACTGACCTGTAGTTGTAACATACAGTCTCGCACACACACTCACTGCCAGCTTGACAGGTGAAAGGTGCTTTCTTTATATGCATTTGTTTGATTATCAGACATATTAAAAAGGCATCTGGTGACTCTGGTGGAGTAAACCTCCTGAAGGGGCCCTAGGAAACATGCTGTCATTTTCTGGGGGGCCTGGCTGAGGTCTGTGGGATGAGAGGCTCTGTGCTGGGACCTGCTAGCTATTCTCTGCCCGGAGGCAGGGCGGAGCTTGGGAAGCTCTCCTACCTTATCTAATAGGCAACCACCAGGGGTCAGGATGGGGCCAGTGATACTGCGGGTGGGAGAGGGTAAGAATGGCCAGCAGCCAGACACTGCATTTCCTCTGTCTGGCCATTGCTGGCTGGATGCACAGCTCTCCTCTGCTCACAGATCATGATTCCAGAATGTTCTGCAAGGCTGTTCTTCCCTGTCTGTTTGTTCCCGCCTCTCACTGCTTGCTGAAAAGAGAAACAGTCTGTCAGAAACCACACTGGATGTATGAGAATTTGGTTCCTTCCTCTTCTTCTTTTTTTTTTTTAAATTTTTTTTATTAGTACATGTTTGAAGTTCATAATGATTACACTGATCATGGGGAGTTTGTACATGTACATAACACATCTTAATTCTTTTTATGTCCCTTTCCCTCCCCTCCTCCTCCTCCCATTGGATTTTCTTTTTTTCTCTGTAATATGATTCAGTGGGACTGGGTTCACTAAGGAGCAGAAAGTTTGACCTGTGGGCTGAGGAACAGAAGGATGGGCTTTAGGTACTGTGAATCCTCTGAAATTGGGTAAATGGAGCACACATATTCTTTTTCCATCTCTGGGGAGAGTATAATAGTTTTTGTGAGATTCATACCCCTGCTCAAAGTCTAGCTTTTTCTGGTACCTCATCCTCCTTCTTAAGTCCATTTACTTCCTATGGTGGTTGAGCAGACGGAAGGTGTTGGAAACGGGGGTGTTCTTGGGAGTCAGGCTAAAGCGTGGGACTTTCTTCACTATCCACTGAGCTCAGAGAGGACCCCAAGTTTTCCCTGGAGTGGGATGGAGTGGTAATGGGGAGGTGGGCAATACTACACTCTGGCTCACACTGAGGTGTGCACTTTTGTACACTTTAAATGACTGGTGCAGGGAACGAAGGATCAGGGAAGGGAGGCTGATCCCTGGCCAGTGGTCTTAAACTCATACTTCGGAGCTCTGGGTGGTAGCATGGATAAGATGGTAGCAATCAGCCAGGTTACTTGTTACTGGGGCACTGCTTTAATTTTAATTTTAGGACAACTTGCTCTAAGCCTTAAACTCTGTTCTACTGTGGGTGGGAGGTGGGCTTAGGACTCATCAGATTCACAGAGCAGTGTAGGCTTTCTCTGAAACAGAAAGAGGATCTGGGGACCTGGAGAGGCTGAGGGTCAAGGCCAGAGTCCAACGCGACAGATCTGAAGGAAAATCCCTGAGCCTTCCTAAATCCCATACTAGCGCTTCATTTTATCTCATAATAATGATTTCATTTGTGCATAAAGATAAGCTGAAGAAAATTGTGATCATTACCCAAACCACTGCTTGGCAGCTGCTTGCAGAGGAGGAGGCAGCCAGAAGAGGCCTGGTAGTTAAACTACAATTATATATGTGTGAATACAGGAAATTCAGTGTTAGGCTTTTTGATTCTGATGCTTCTTCTGGACTCGTAGTTCACCCATCTTTTTTTCCCAGGGTGGAATTTCACCTCTTGCAGCTGTAACGGCTGTTTCTCACAGAACTTCCTTATTAAATAGGAAATACGCAGGTGTGTTAAGGC